TTGTGATAGTTGCCACACAGAAGTAGGACTTCAAGGCTTCTCTTTGATAAGCCTTGTTTGCCCTAGGAGATCCTCACAGTGAGGAGACACCCTCTTCCCTGGATTATATTTAAGTAACCACTTTATTTTTGAGAGATGAGTATATGATGCCCAAAATCAAATTAAATAGAACAAACTGTTACAAATAAACCTGAATTTTTTGATGTAGTGTGCTTTTAGCACTTGTAGCTTTAAAGGTAAACTACAGAAAAATTACTCTTAAAGGACCTCTATAGGCACCCAGACCACTTCACCTTAATGAGGTGGTCTGGGTGCCTGGTCCATCTAGGGTTAACCCTTTTTTCTATAAACATAGCAGTTTCATAGAAACTGCTATGTTTATGTTGGGGTTAATCCAGCCTCTAGTGGCTGTCTCATTGACAGCCGCTAGAGGGCTTCCGTGTTTCTCAATGTGAAAATCACAGTGAGAAGACGCCAGCGTCCATAGGAAAGCATTGTGAATGCTTTCCTATGGACTGGCTGAATGCACGCGTTGCTCCTGCCGCGCATGCGCATTCAGCAGAAGAGGAGGAGGAGAGCTCCCTGCCCGGCGCTGGAGAAAGAGGTAAGTTTAACCCCTTCCTCTCCATCCAGCCCGGCAGGAGGGGGACCCTGAGGGTGGGGGCACCCTCAGGGCGCTATAGTGCCAGAAAAATGAGTGTTTTCCTGACACTATAGTGGTCCTTTAAACTCACTCTTGTTTTTGGTTTATTTGCATATGGCTAGAGTCTGAATGGTAATCTGTATGTTCATTGTGCTTAGAGTGGTGTTGTCTCCACTTTACTGACGAGGCTCAACAAAGGCCTAATCTATGGTATGGGGATAGGACAGACCTTGTGGTTAGGATCTGTCTGTGTCTCACTGGCTAGGATTCACTATGCCACCATATTTGGGAGAAGTGAACAAAATTTTATGTGAGACCTGAGGGGGACCTACCAAAGGGAAAGCTGCTTGCCCTTTTGTCTGTTTCCGGTGTTCTCATATTTAGTTTGAGGCAAAAAACTTATTTTAATGCATCTTATAGATAAAACAATAATTTAAAACATTAAAAATGCAATGGAACTTCCCTGTAAACATAATATGTGGTGGGACAGCTTTCAGCTGCAGGTAGACTGTTTCCTGACCTGGAAGAGACAGTTAATCAGGACTGTTTTTATGTTCTATGGAGTCTATTCTTATTCCATAAACTCATAAGAACCATACCATTGCTGTTATCGGTTTACACACAGCCCAATGTCTGTTCACTCATCAGTGGAGCTGCAGCCCACTACTTGATGTACACTTACAAATAGCTGTAGTTCTAAGCTACTCTCCGTGCAGAGAGTGAGGGCAGAGCATTCTCTGCACCGTAAACTTTGTAATAATGTGAAGTTGTGGTGGTTGCACTTTTGAACTTGGTTAACTAGCTTATTCGAAGGATCTTAAGTTGTTGCCACCTCATCTCTTGGACAACCACTTCCATAATTCTTAGCTAGCTGTAACTGGGCAGATAATTATGAATTTCAGTACACTATCTTTTAGGGGGATCCGTTTGACATTCCAACGTGGAATTTGTTCTATTCTGTGAAGAAGAAGAAAATAATTTATTATATATTTTAAAAAATATTTATAAAATGATTGGGGGAGTTTGGTATTTATTTTTGGTTTTTTTGTGTGTGGTGTTGTAGGTTCATTTTTGGCAACATTTCTTAACCCCTTCAGGACGGAGTCAACAGTACACGCTCTGATCAAAACAAAATGTAAACAAAAACTGGAATTTGCGCTGTCTATTCAACCGTAATTCACCGCTTTCATATGAAGTGCACCCACACTTATTATATATCATTTTGTTCAGGAGAAACTGGGCTTTAATTTCTAATGAACTATTCATATTTGAAACATTTATTATGAAGAAAATAAAAACTGAGAAATTAAGATTTTTTTTTTTTTTAAATTGTAGCCATTTTAGCTGTAAATGTCATAATACTGTTAGCTTTAACTGCAAACAAATATATATTTGGATTCAGCAAAGCCTCACGAGTACAACAGTAGCCCCCATTAACAGTTTTTACAGTGTTTTGGAAAATAACAGGGTCAAATATAGCACATTCCATTTTTCATTTTTTTCAAATTGAAATTTGCCAGATTAGTAATGTTACATTTGAGACCGTGTGGTAGCCCAGGAATGAGAATTACCCCCATGATGGCATACTGTTTGCAAAGGT